GTGTATGTATTAGGCATATGACTGTATCCATATACCTAACTTAAATACCTGTATATCTATAATTACATGTTCCTACAGTGGGAAGCCCGGCCAGCCGAGGCGGGCGCGCGCTAGCGTTTACAATTACCCCCTATATAGTCCCCCTTTAAGGAGTTTAGACTATAGCTCATGTGGGTTTCAGGTCCAAAGTCTAGACTTGAACGTCTCTGTGGAAGCCACACTCTAAAACCTCGCAGAACGCGCACCTGAAAGAATAACCTGCATAGGCTTAGGGTTTAGGGTTTAGGGTTTAGGGGTTTAGGGTTTAGGGGTTTAGGGTTTAGGGGTTTAGGGTTTAGGATTTTGCAAGGAAACTAGTAGACTCCATGACAGGCAAACCGCTTAGCGCTGCGATCAGAATATCTTCACCCCTTAAACCCTAGACCCTAAACCCCTAAACCCTGAACCCCGAAACCTAAACCCTAAACCCTAAAACCCTAAACCCTGACATCGTCACACCCGAAAGTCTAGAGCCTAAAGCTGCTTTTTTGCCCTTCAAAGTATTCAAAACATGAGCCCTATAGCGTAGGGTTTTGGCTTTAGGGTTTAGGGTCTAAACTCCCAGTACCCCCTTCAATAACCCATGTAGTACTCCCCTAGAAAATCCACTCTATGACCCTTTTTCAAGGAATTTAGACTACAGTACACATGGCTCCCACACCGCTCTTGCAGCGATCTGAGAAAGACGTAGACTTGAAGGCTCATTTTTAAGTACAGATAAACGATGTAAGGCCATTCAGGGGATTAAAAGGAGGGTTACAATCCTGGTTGTGAACAAACCCTAAGTCCCATGAACCTTCAAGTAGCAATCCCTCGTATGAGACCCGGGGATTATACAGTAGGACCTCTACACCACAAGCACATGCCCAAACACGCCTTGAACCCTAAACTGTCATACCCTATCTAACTCTGATGCAGACTTTCGCAGCAGGGGGACCAAAAAGAAGTAGCCTATCCCATAAGAATAGCTCTTGAAGGAATCAGGACAGTACCAGTGGCAGTCATCTGGCCCCTAAACCTTAAACCCTCCATCGAGACAAGCTTGTTGGTGTTAGGGTAGCCCAGCACCCTGAAGCCCAACTTAGAATCTAAGGTCGAAACCATGGGCCCTTTGTCGTAGTATGGGCCCGACCCCGGGATCCTTACATTCCTACTATTTTCCCCATATACCCTATAGGTACCATGAAGGGTCCCTAGAATCCTCCTAAAAGGCCCTATATTGGGGGCCCATTTGTCTAACTCCAAAGTCAACCGAAGACTGCCAGTGACCAACAAAATGTTGCCGTCCTTGCTGACCGTACCAAAACAGCATCATGAGAGTGTTTCTCAAGATAGGAACCCCTCAACAATACAGGCCGCCTTTGCCCAACTATGAATTCGGATTTTCACTCCACAAAATATGCACCCCCCAGTCAGTATACCCTAAACCCAAAACCCGTAAACTCAGTACCCTAAGCTGTGTCTGATCCCTGAAATCTGAACTTGACAGCCCTCAAGCGCATAGAAGCTTTTTTCAAGTCGCACGTGCTACATCGCGTAGACGCCCGCTGCAGGTGGATAGCTAAATTGTGCGGCAAATCTTCTATGAAAGGGTCCTGCCACTGCCACACAAACTCCAGATCTGTTTGCAGCACAAGCTACCCGCCTGCACAGGGGGTGGGGTCATGTGGATTGTTCTCAACATGATGGGCCCCTTGTGGTATAGATTAGTAAATTACGATTACGATACCTAATATTTAGGGATACCAAAAAAGGACCCCAAATTTTGGGAACTACCCATGTAGCAGGAAAGGGGGCCTAGCTCGTCCGGTTAAGCTTGTAGGGGATGTTGACGGAGGGCTTGCTACAGTTGAGAGCCATGCACGCAGCGGACGTGACCTTGCGAAGTCCTGGCAGAATGGCAGGCACTTTCAAGGCAGAGTGCTTAGTTCAGATTTTAGGGTTTAGTTCGTGTGACTAAAAGGGATTCTGTCTGGATGTGGGTGTTCGGAAGACAAGAGAAAGCCTAAACCTTGGAACGCTTCGAAACCGACCCAATGTCCAATAGATAGGATCTCAAATCTGGAGCCAATACGGGTATCATAGCATGTGGTTCAGGTAGGGCTCCTTTGCCCCAACCCCTATTCTGCTACTGCACTGCTGTGCAAAAGGGAGCCTGTTTAGTCGACCTTGAGCCCTGGAGCTTAGGGTTCAAGGATTGTTTTTCCCCCCCTCCCGCTTGGCTCGAAGCATGCAGGGCAAACAGGATCCAAAGGCGTATGACATGCACACCAGAACTGACTAAGGATTAAGCTTTAGGGTTTTGGGTTTGGGGTTTAGGGCTTCTGAAACCTGATTCTATCTTGCTTCGGCCAATGCTTTTCCAAACCCATGTCACAAAAGCCTGACGCCCCCAGCGGCCTAAACCCTTTTAAAGAGGCTCCGGCGGGGGATGCCAGTAGTGTGGAGGCGGCCAGCTGTGCGCCGGCGGCGGCGGATACCCGTGGCCTGGCTAACGGTTTTAGTTAGGGGTTTAAGAATTAAGGGTTTAGGGTTAAGAGGTTTAGGGGTTTTGGGGTTTGAGGGTTTAAGGTTTGGGGGTTCAGGGCTTAAGGGTGTAGGGGTCAGGGGTTTAGGGCTTCAGTTTCGGGCGTTGTTGTGAGTTTCCCCACCCCCCATCTTCTATGATAACTTTTTTGGGGGGTTACCTTGAACTTGTTTTTGGATAGTTCAAGCTATTTACTGCCTAAGTAGGGGCAATGCGGGGTGGGGAATTGCTCGAAACCCTAAACCTCTGTGACGTTTAGAGAGTCCAAGGTTTGGTGTGCAGGGGCATCGGTTAAAGGTTTAGGCTTTAGGCTATAGTCCCCCTTAAGTAGATGAAATATGGGGTATGTGGGGATCTGAGTATAATATACCCAAAGCCATGTTCTTATCTACTTAAGGGGGAGTATAGGATTGAAGGTCTTTCCGGAGATGAATCACCTGCCTGCCACCGAATAAGACCTCGTGGTCTCCAATCCCCAAGACAGAAATTGCTCCAAAGCCCAAAGCCTAACCCCTGCATAGGAGGTGCTCTATCTCTATGTCAAGCACCATGGAAATCCCACAAGCACGCTCGACTTTTAGCCGGCGCCGGAACGGACGGAGACCATCACCTCCATGAAAGCGGAATGTCGTAAATCATATCATCAAACTGATCCTAGCATCATTTTTCCTGTCATTACGGCAAATGAACTTATACAGGCTCCTCAGTCAATGGATTTCTGGGATCCACAATGCCGCGAGCGATACAACAAAACCTGCTCCCTTCCAGCTTGCATGCTGTCAACCTTCGCGTCGCACACATTTGCCAGTAGGCCCTTGGAGGGTCTCTCCCTTTGGGCGCAGACCAGGGGCAGTGCTGAGTTGATTCGATTGAGCGCTAGCACTTCACGCTGGAAGTCCTTGGACTGCCTCCCCAGCTCGGTCTTGAAGAGGGGTCGCAAGACCTCGTTCAGCCTTTCATCCCAGTTCAAACGCCCAGGCGGCATGGAAGCAGGATCTGGTACTTTCCTGCGCTTCTTGGTAACACGACTGGAAAGGAAGACCACATCCCGCAAAGACCAACTCACCTTTCTGCGAAAGAGAACCATCGACGCTGGCAACTCCTCGGTCACCAGGATGTGCAGGCGGCCCGTGCGATTGAAGGGCCAACGGGCAAGGAAGTTTTCTACGTGGTCCTCCTGAAGCAGACGAAGGTCTTTTGCCAAAGGGTTCCAAAGACTCTCAGATGCATTGAACTCGGTGAATGGAACCTGGAAGAAGTCCAGTGTAGACCACAAGTGTGAATGAGCCTCGCGGATCAACACAAAAATCTTCACCTCAGAACCCATCTGCTCCTCGTATCCCATCAGAGTGCGCTCGAAATGCCTGCCGTCAGCGTCGCATTGCTGCAAATAAGGCTCTGAGGTCCACCAGGTGGTGCGGTCATAGGTGTGCCGCGCTTCAAAATCGTACTTACCCTCATTCTGGCTTGAGTGGTTTGAATCCTTGCGGGCCTTGCAAGCATGCTCGTGGGGCACGAAGCGTGAATTGTCATCACACCCGGCCCAGCGTAACCCCAGCCACATTCCAGAGCGCATGAAAGTTGTGGCGACGGTGGTGCTGCCTGTCTTGTGCGTCCTCACGAGCGCAAAACGCTCATGCTTAGAGCTGTTGACGAAGCCGCAGCTGTGTTCCAAAACCTGCTGCACGTCAAGCCACCGCAGTGACACCAAAGACACCTCAGCTTTCAAAACCCTGCAAAGCGCACCTCTACAAGGGCGTCTCTACTTCTAACGACTACATACAGCCCTCCAAAGCCCCTCATCAAAAAGCATCGTGTTAAGGACGAATCGCCTCACCGTCCGCTCCGAAGCCGCACAACCAATCTTGGACCGCGGCGACCTTGTCCTGGCTCGGGAGTTCTGGGGAGAAAGTTGCGGTGGCTCTTTCGTTGCCACAGGTTTCCGCTCCACACCCGGCATCTGCAGGAGGATGTGCCAAGGCCGATGCCCATTGCAACAACAAACAAGTGGCCAACATGTGGCGAAGCTGTGCAGTCTGCACCTTTGGTGATAGTGCCGACGAGAAAACAATATTGTAGAAGCTAGTCTAGCCTGTCCGGTTCGAAACATCTCTGGCTTTCATGTCTTGAATGCTTCCTCACGGAGCCGATGCGCTTGTCATCGAAAGTGGCGTGCAGAAACCAGAAGCTTCTGAAATTTCATGGCTTCAAAGTTTCCAGGTTTACTGGGTCACAGGGCTCCTACCGTCAAATCAACTTTGGGCGGTTCTTTCGAGACAGGGGAAATTCCATCTGGACCTTACTTTACTGCAGTCGATGTTGAACTGCTTCATTGACTAAGAGGACAGGCTGCGCGGGTGGAGCTCATCAAACGCCATCCCGAACTGATTTCAGCTGGGTTCCCTGCAAGTTGCCCTGGCAGGAACAGTGGGGTTGAAGAGCTGTGAGGAGAACCGACCTGGCAAGATGGTCATAGTCATAACTTTATATTTGCTCCACGACATGATGTTGCTGGCACGTCAAGGGGCCCGGCCAGGTGCCAGGGTCATCTTCTAGATTCAAAGCTGTGGGTCTAAGCTGCTGACAGCCCAGCCCGGTGCCCATCTGCGTATGCCGAGCTGTCCAGAGCTGGAGGCATGAGGCGGTTGGCAACTTTGGACTTTGGGCCTTGCTCGGTTTAGGGTTTAGGTACCTCAAAATAATAAAAGGCCATTCCAACAAGGAACAAAAGGGGGTTGACACAATTATGGTCACTCTTGGGGTGACGCACTAGTACGATTTTGCATATACAGAGAGAACTGCTGAGAAATACCTAGTCCAGCTAAATTTGAATTATTGATTCTGACTGCGGCATGGGAAACTTACAAGGCATGAAGCAAGCAGGTGTGAGAGCAAAAGCCAGCAGTCACTAGTCTGCAAGCTCAAATGAACTATCATACCCTCCCTCAAACAACCATGGAAGCCCAACAGGTGCTCTACAAAGACAACTGCCCGTTAAAAACGGGTCTATGTGGGCTTGCGTGAAAGACTCCGACCAATATCTGTTATTTCCCTTTGACAAGCTGCATGAGCTAACAAGAAGTAGCATGGGTGTTGTGATAAGTTTGAGGGGTTCCCCAAGATAGATAACTTTGAGGGTTCCCCAAATTTGGGGTACCTTTGGGGGTCCCCATAATAAGGATTACAATATTTGGGGGACCTGTTTTAGGGCCCCCCTATTTAGGGAAACTACCATTTGGGCCCTTTTGCGGGTATCCCACACATTGCGGCTCTTAATATCTTGCCTATCCTCTCCACAATTCAGTTTTGACACCCTGGAGAATCCCAATATAGACCTTATATAACCCATTATAGTCGTTTCCATTTTCCTTTCCACTATCCCTATTTAAGCCACATGAGCCAAAATCTAAACTCCTAGTATCCCCCTTAAAAAGCGCTATAGTGTCCCCCTATATAATCCCCTTTAAGGAGTTTAGACTATAGCTCACATAGCTACTTGACATTTGAGCTCTAATCGCCGAGGCCTCGACATGGTCATGCTCTGGGTGCTGAGTTGGAGGGAAACGTGACGTTAAAATTTGGCGTAACAAGACCCCCCCTACCACCCTCTTATCCCTGTGAAGTAATTTTAGCGCTCCTGATTCTAAACTATACATTACGTAGGGAGGAAGTTCAATATTAGGCGGGTGGGGGGGCAGGCGGGTATTATCGGAGGGAGGGGACTAGAATACCCCAAGCCCTGAAATCTAAAGTCTAAACCTATCTTAAGCTTTTACAGTAACACGGTAATACGTCCATCTGACTTTGGCGCTTGATGTAACTACCCACCTGAAACTGTCCTTCTAGGGTTTAGGTTCTTGAGTAGTTTACAGGTACTTAAGGTAATGTTGATGGAGGGTGGGGTCAGAACTCCTGCTAATCGCTTTAAGCAGACCCTGAAGCCCAAGCCCTAAGCCCCCGCCTCGGACGTAAGGTTTCTCAAAGGTTCACCAACGTATTGTGCATCCTGTCTATGCTGCAGTCCTTGACAATGATTTTGTAGACTCTCCCTAAGAGGAACAACAACTGAACAAACTAATTTTAACAGCCCCTAAAAATTACACCCTGAACACCTGTGAAGCAGATATTGCCCTGGCCCCTATGCATGTGCGGTAGGGGGACTATTGCGCAGAAGCAATCCAAATCAATCACTGGGGAACATCATGCGGGCTTCGGGTTCATGCATCTACTCTTCTCTGTACTTGTGGGGTCAGGGGCCTGGTGACCTTTACTCCCCAATAATCGATAGCATCCTCATTATTGACTACTTACCGAGTCCCGATGACCCCAGGTAGTCCTTTGGTTCTTAGTCCTGGTGTCGATGTACAACTTCAAGCCCAGGGAGAATCACAGTTTAGGGTCCAGGGAGCCCTTTCGGATAAGCCTTCCCACTGAGAATGATTGCGCCAAACCCCGATCATAGTGCTACAGCAGCACTATTCTTCCTACTGTATGACAACACTGCTATATTGGGAGTTGGGAGGTGAGGCGCTTTGTCATGAGGCGGAGGGGATTAATCAACCCTAAACCCCAAGTTCCGCTGACAGTGCAGACTGAACCCTTGATCCGCGCCCAGAACCACAAAGCCCCTGAGGCGTCAGGACAACTGACAGAACCTCAGGGTTTAGGGGTTACTTACCGCAGGTTAGTAGGGAATCAGGGAATATAATCCTTGTATGGTCCCCATACAATATCTTCCCTCCTTCCCTAATAAACCCCAGTACCGCTAGGGCTTAGACCCGAAATCCAAAAGCTCCACAAATCCGGCCACGCGTTTTTGGTCTCCACTTCGCAGCGCTCTTGGAGATCTACCCTCCCTCAAACAAACATGGAACCCATGAAGTTGCCGGGACCGTAGTCTACCTAGGGACCCCTTTTAAGGTTCCAATGCCAGTTTGAAGGACTTCTACAGGCTATCCTTGAGCCTTGAGCTTTTACTACCTTTCTGGACTGGTTTAGGGTATATGGTTTAGGGTTTTGATGTTACTGACTTTCTCAATTGGTTGAGGGTGTACGGTTTAGAGTATCAGCAGCCGCTCTTGGTACTATCCTTTCACCCTGTTGCGCTGCTAGATTTGCTCTCCTACTATTCTCTTTGCAGCTTTTGGCGGCTGTCATCCCTCTAAAGCGGTTATTGCAACAGCGAGTAGGGCTTAATGATCACTGTTCTTGCCATCAAAGTTCAGAGCGCTGGGCTTGAGCGCCCTTGCTTCTGGCATTGCTCTTGCAGGCTGTTCACAGCAGATGCCGCCATATTGCAAGTTCCAAAACGCGGGCCATGAGCATTGAACGAAAGTGTCTCCAAATAGAGTTTTGGGTTTAGGATTTAGGGTTAGGGCCTTAGGATTTAGGGTCGGGGGAACATCTGGATTCAAAACCTTCCAAACAGCTTTCGAGCTCATCTTTGCGTATCTCGCAGACTGAGGGCGGTCTGCATTAGCTGTTCAATGGCTCTGCTCAATTGTTGAATTCAACTCAGGTTGGCCCCTAAAACCCATTGAAAAAATATTAGTATATATGGTCCCCTATTAAAGCCATTAGAGAAAATGTCAAATATCCCAGGGGCCTACCCAGTCAACGGGACTTCAGTGAGTCCGCCGCAGGTTCCAGGGGCCTCCAAAAACCTCCTCCAAAAACCTTCAGGGCCTCCTCCAGGACCCTCTAGGAACTTCGAGGAGCCTCCAGAACCTCCATGGCTTGGGTACTGCCCTCCCTCAGTAACAGTTGGATAATAAGTATAATAGGGTTATATATAGATATATATAGTCCCCCCTAATATAGTCTGTTACTGGGCGGGGGCAGTACCCAATCCATGGCCTTGAGTCTCCACATCCAGGGACTAAATCCTAAACCCTAAATCCGAAGCCCTAAATTCTAAAATCCCAAACGATCATGGCCCATTAAAGTTTTAGGGTGTAGGATTTCGTGTTAGGAGTTGTTAGGATTTAGGGTCCACTTGGTTCCCCCCTACCGGTACCCGCAACGTTTTATGTTCAGCTGTCGAGCTCAATACGCCGACACATACTTGTGTCTTCCTGGGAGGTCTCGTAATCCGACCATGAATCCTCAATTCAGTTTTAGGGTAGACCTTGCGAGCTATTGTCCACATAGACTGTAGACTCAGCCACACACTTTTGGGCACTTGCAGGTCGCAGCAGCTGATGCCAAACACTGGCTCTCACTTGTGCCAGTACCTCGCAGAAGGCAGTCTCTTCATCTTACATGTCCAGTATCTAAGGCTGCCCAAGCTCAACCTTTGGGTTCAAGTTCCGTTTGGATGTTATCCAGAAAGGTCAAAACCTGCTTTCTGTATGTGTGGGTCAGGATGCTTGCATGCGTTGGCTGTCCTTGTGTATCCTGCTAAGAGCTACTTTGCAAAGTCATATCGGTTTGGGAGCCCCCCCAAAACGGCCTCTTTCAGCTGCCGTGGCGGGCAGGCAAAAACAGGTTGTGGTGCACATGGCAAAATCAAGACGCTTTGAAGTGCTAATTCCTAAAACCCCAATGAGGTATACCCAAATCCCGTTTGAATTGTTTAGGCCCTCTGCTAACTATGAAAAAATATCCCCGATTCGAGGGGCCACTGTATACAAAAAAATGAACCCACATCTCTAGACCCATAAGTATGTAGGAAAGAACACCAAAAAGAAATACCTTCAGGGTCTAGGTAAGCCTTAATGTCTAAGCCTAATCCTGACACTAAACCCTGAACCCGAAACCCCAAACCCTAAACCCTAATGCTGCGCTCACTTTTTTGAAGAGACCCTCTTTAATGTGTGTTTTCGCCGCCGCTCATTCAGGGCCTGGCCATTGCTGGGAAGACCCTGTTTAATGTGTCTTGATCTTGGGGCCTAAAAATATACGAAGATTTCAACCATATTCTCTTAAAATGAGCCATTTTCGAATTCAGAGAAGCTACAAATTTCCTCTCAGAGCTCAGAAGCTCAAGCTCAAGGGCTCAGAAACCTGAAAATGGAGC